AGATCAAGCAATCATACATAACAAAAAACAAATGATACCTCAACCTGTAAACATAAAGTAATCTACTAACCACTGAAAAGGAACCTGAGTTCTTTGTTAATAAAGAAGAATAAATCTAAAAAATCCAAGCAAACCCTATAAGGGCTCTATCCAATTATCTATGTCCAACATTTGGTGAAACCCTCAAAACCTAAGTGTCGCTGAACTTGAGCCAACAATTTTCAAGATCTCCTTGGAAAATCAAGAAGACCACAAACACATTTTACAGGGAAACCCATAGATATTTCAAAATTCTTGGTTCCTTTTACAAGAATGGGATCAAATTGCTTCTTTAGGCACAATGCGAATTTCTAAGGCACATATTTGGATCAAATTGCTTCTTTATGTTATGCTTTCTATGTGGCATAATGGGCTACAATAGAGAACATTGCTAAGACCCTAATAATCATGGACATGGGATCACTTAAGTTAACTCTTTGAGCCTTTGGCTAAGGTCAAATCAAACTAGGGGAAATCACAGTCAACAAAAGAAAATAAATCAACAAAAATCATGCAAAAAACCTAGTATAAGTTAGCACAACCATGTGCCAAAAACGATGATATAAAAATTGTAAAGACTATCAATGAAAGATAAATATGGCAAAGCTAATGCATAAGAAATAGAGGAAGAATAAGGGAAAAAAAAGGCAAAATTTGCAAAAACACAAAAATAAAAGAATAATGTTAGAAAATTTGGATGATATGGAATAATACCAATCAAACAAGACTATGGTAAAACAAGTGATAGGCCTTATAGAAAAGACTGCCAATAAAGCATGAAGATCTTATCCTAAAATTATCAAGGGCTAGGAAACCCACGAAAAGTTATATCCCTTAAATACATGATTTCTTCTTACTTTCTTGATGTTATTTTCTTATATGAAACTAAAAAAATATGTTATGCTCATGTTTTTAAAATGATTATGAATGTTTATAACTTAACCAAAAACCATCGCATTGTCCGTGTGACTACTAGGGGTGGGAAAGTTGCGGGTTTGGCTATCCTTTGGAACAATGATGTAAATCTAAAGATTTTGGAACTAATCATAATTATATTGACTTATATTTTGTCTTATGGTATAGATAATAACTTGAGGGGAATATGTATTTATGGTTTTCCTAAAAGCAATACAAAAATTCAACTTGCAATTTTACAAACAACTTAGCTCAAAGAAATGACTACCCTAAGTGGCTTCTTTTTGGTGATATTAACATCATTACTAACAAAAGAGAGAAAATTAGGAGAAACTTATCAATATAAACATTATATTAATATTACCTTTTTTTATTGTCTCTTAAATGAATTAGGTTATAGGGATGGTATGAAAACTTGATGTAGCAATCAAAAGGGCAATTAATACATCACATCATGGCTTGATTGGCTTATGGCTACTAATGATTGGATAAACTCCTCCCTTCACTTTAACAATCCTCACTTGCTTAGACATAGATTTTATCACAACCAAATCTTTATCATTTTCAATCTAAAAAATTCCAAATGAACCTTAGAGATAGAATAAAGAAACCTAGAAGGGTTGAAAAGCTTTGGTCGAAGACCCTAAATATAATGATATTGTTCAAGTCAAATGGAAATACCGTCAAGGAAATCAAACATACAAACTAGAATATACTCTATATGCGCTTATGGAGTGAGGTTCTAAATATTTTGGTAACATGGACTTGAAAATTAAGATTCTTTGACAAGATATAAAGAGGGCTCAAAATTCTAATCCTATGAACCAAAAAAGGATATATTAGCTACCTCTAAGGCGAGATTGACAAAAGTCTCTACCATGAAGAGATATGGTGGTAGCAAAGAGCGAAATGTACTGATCGAAAGAAGGAAACGATAATACTAAGTTCATCCTCTAGAAAGAAAACCAAAGATAAAAAGAAAAATAAGTTAAACGCCATCACCATTCTAGATAGGGAAGTGACCTTCAATGAGGAAAATATCCAACAAACTTTCACAATTCTTCTATGATCAACTTAAGTCTAAAAATACTAATTCTTTCATTAAAATCAACAATGTTATTAAGGATAAGCTAAGCAACAAGATAAAATCAGATCTTAACAATCTTTTTATAGTTGAGTAAGTGTTCACGACTATGACTCAAAGGAAAAAGTATGGTAGCCCATGGACCTAACAGGCTTCCTGCTCCTCTCTACCAAATTTTCTAGAACCTCATTGGTATCTATGTCACCTCTACCATCTTAAATATTCTTAATAAGAGTTGGGACTATATTGCCTATGATTAAACATATATTTTCCTTATTCATAAAATTAAAAAATCATTTTACTCTTTCTGACTACAGACATATTTCGCATTGCAACACTATGTTGAAAATAGCCACGAAAACTATCTCCACCAAGCTTAAAAGTAGCCTTCCCTCTATTACTAGTGAAAACCAAAGTGCTTTCGTAAAAAAAAATTACCACTAACACTTCTATAGATATTGAGATTTTTAATTATTTAAATAATATTAATAAAAGGAAGCAATGTTATGTAAGGATAAAAATGGACATGACTAAAGCTTATGATGTACTATAGTGGAATTTCATATGTAATAACTTGATTTCCATGGGATTCCCTAATGTAATCACTAAACTATCATGAGTTATATTTCGAGAAGGAATACTATTTAATTAGAGATTGGATGTTGTGGAGTGCGACGATGGGCTCTAGCTTCTAGTATGGTGGGAGAGGGGATAATATGCAAGGTGTGCACTCCAACGCTCAAGTAATTATAAGAATAAGATGAATGAATGAAGTTTAAATTTGAAATGTACCCGGAAGATGACGTGCTCCCCCCGTACATAATAGAGTGATTATAGTAACTTACTTTTCTGCAGACGTAGGATTCAGAGAGCCGTTGGATGGATCTTAGACTTGGATCACTGCTCTAACCCTGGATAGCACTCATGTTCCACAAGTGACTTGGTGGATCAACACATCTTATGATATGTAGCTCTTGGGCATTATGATTGTCCCAAAATAGTTGCCCTAAGTCCTTGCGTCTACTCTGTAGGGTGATAGCTCTTGGGCATTATGATTGTCCCAAAATAGTTTCCATAAGCCCTTGCTTCTACTCTGTAGGGTGAAGGCTTTGTTGTGTTTGTTTTTTCTCTGTCGATTGTAGCCTGACTTGAATGGAAAGCCAAGATGTGACATTGTTGTCATTAGGAACTTGCACTTTAAATGTTCCCCATGCTTTAGATGTCTTTTCATATGTTATATCATGATGACTTTTGGAAACTAAAGTAGTTGAGTATATTTTTAGGAGATCCGGACTATTCATAGTTCATGTTATCTTTCTTTATTAAGACACTATGCGATATTTGCATACTTAGTTATACATTTTCTTGGGGCGTTACCTTTTCTCATTTCGTCATTTGTATTTCCACACCATAGTATTTCTCAAATGATAGAAGTGATGCACACTAAGAGTCAAAAACCGAAAAAGGATACTTTTGTCTCTTAGGTTGATCTTGCAGTTTTGGCAACTGCTTATACATTTTCTTGTGATGGTATCCTTAAAAGGGTTTTTCTTGACGTGTGTCCTTCTTCTAACTAGGGTGTATTGATCCTTGAAAAAGATAAAAGGATTTCTAGTGAGTATGACAAGTGCAATATTCCTTTTTATGATTGCACTTTTTCCATCCTTGATTTCTGCTTGCCTTTCCACAGTTTTGAAATACATGTCTTGACCATCTGATGATTGTCCCCTTCACAACTGAACCTTGTGAGTTGGGCTAATACCAAAATTTTCAAAAAATTCGAAACTTTTTGTTGTTTTTGATATTTCTTGAAAATTTTGATAGGAAATAAAAGATTTCTAAAAAATACCGGATTTTTTTAAAACATCCACTATAAATGCATCAGATATTTGAAAAATTCGGTATTTATTCATACAATTTTTAAAATACAATGTATTTTTATCAGAAACTTTGAAAATGTCTGATATTTCTTTTATATTTACTAAAAAAATCGATATTATTTTGTAATATCTGATATTTCTTCAAATAAACCTCAAAAATCTAGTATTATATTGAAAAAAATGGGTACTTGATGATACTTTTTGAAAAACTAAAAATATTAGATAAGAACAAAATGATAAAAACATAAATCATGTGAGAATGTCAAATTAAAGTGTGGGTGATAGATTAAATTCTCATATTGAACAAACAATTTTAATCCAAGCCTAATCAAAGTATGGGATGAGCCCATCAAATAATACTTGTTTTGCTTTGTTTTTTCAAATAATAATAAAAGTATAATTTGGTTGCTAACAAGAAATCAAAAAGTTTTCGCAATAGAAAAATTTCCCAATTTATTTGAAATATTTTTTGAAATATAGTTGATTTATCAATCAAATATTTTTTTCTCCAATTTCTTCGTATTCTAAGCAATCATTATTTTTTTTGAAACAGCAAAATTTATTAATAAAAGATATAAGAAATGCTTAGGAACAAACACAATGAAACATGACTTGATACAAAATACAACACCTAGCAAAATCGAAAACACCTAAGCTACCACCCAAGAGACCCCCACTGCCAAGGCAAGCATCCACAAGCCAAACAAAACACCCAATTCAAATAAAACTAAACCTCTGAAACACCAAAATATTGAACTTGGAAACATCTCAGCCAAATTACACAATGCAAAAAGACACTAAATACAAAATAAATTCTATATTGAGGAAATTCAATTGCAGCCAGAAAACAAGCTACATTACTCACTTTGAAACGCGAACTCTTCAATCACCAGACGATGCCTCAATTGCAACTCTAAAACAACCCAAGACCTCTAGATTTTATTCAAATAGCTTAACCAATGATTTCTCCCTGAACAATAGACAAGCAAACACTAATTACAACAATTGATCATCGCCGAAAACAACTGATAACAAAAATATAATTAAAGTAATAACACAGTGCAAAAGGCTGCTAACACTTCTTAGGGATCCTTCTCCAAGCTATCAAGATCCAAACTTAAACGCAATCTAAGAGTTGGCACAATGACAACCAGCTGCAAACTAATTGCGAAGAAACAAGCTGCCGCTGAGGTGGGCCTCCTCGTAAACTGACACACTAGAAACCACCAACACTCAAAAGTCTGAGATCTGCAACACACCCAGCAAGCAAAAACCAAGCAAAATAAATGCAAGAATGCTACAAACAAAACCTGCACTAAAAGACAAATAAATTACTACTAAAACGAATCTCCCGATGAACTAAGATGATACTTTACACCAAACACCTTGGAGCAGCAGACTGAAAGCTCTTATGCACTTCCCAAAAAATGCACCAAAAACGAACCTCCCAACCAATCTGCTCAAAAGAAACTAAACTACCAAACAACCTAGAAATTAAATCAGAGGACATCCCCGTCGGGATCTCACTCAGCCACCAATCTTAAATAGACTTTGGGATCTAAGAACCATTACCCAATATCACACTTAATGATTTTTGCTTTCAATTTTAATCACTTCCAAAATATCCCTATAACTTCTTCTACAATCTTCTTAACTCGAATATCTTCATTTCGAAATATTTCTAAGCAATCATTATTATATGCTGTCTTGAAATGAGTTGATTGATAAATAAATTATTCAAAGAATTTTTTTTTATAGCAGGACCAAATTGTGCATTTTAAAGTATTTTTTAAAATATTTTTAATTGTTTTTTTTAATATAATCAATACCTAATTGTCTCTTTTTAAATGACATGAAAGTTAATGTGTTTCATAATAACTTAATTAAAAACTAAATTTCTTATATTTTAAAACTCAAAATTATTTTAATATTATAATGAATACTCCGACAATTAATAATAAACCAAAGTAAAGATTCAAATCAATGTTTTTCAATCATTAAATAACTAAACGAATTTTCCCAAAAAAAAAGATATTATCACATAATAAAATTTATTAATTATTTTATCATGTATAAAAGTTCTAAAATTAACCTAAAAAATAAGTCGAAAGAATATTTTTTAGAATATTTTTTATTATGCTATAATTTTATTTAAAATTTATTTTTGTAGGTTTATTTGGACTGTATCATAGACCAAATCTATTAATTATTTAATTAATTTAAAGAGCCAACTTTTTCTAATAAATAAAACCAGAATGAATATTTATAAAGGAGCTTACCAAAAAGAAGCAGAGCATGAGTTGCCACGTTTTGGACACGAACATGGAGTGCACGTGTATAGCTTCTTTGACAATAAAATGAAATGGATAATAATAGATGATAGGATAACAAGGTTACACACTCTTTATAATTAGATTATTGTTTTGATGCTCAAAGTCATTATGCTCCAACAATTTGTGATATTTTTAGGGACAATTTAAATAATTTGTTTCTTAAATTAATAGTATTATAAAATATTGGCAAGTCATTAAAAATAAAAATAATTAACTAATCTATGAATTATTCTATTAATGTTAGGTAAAAATGTTGGCTCATTTATTAAGAGAGTTGATTCATAGATCCAGAGATTGTGACATTAAATATTATTGTTAAAATAAGAATTGTGAATCTATATATTTGTATATCTAATTATCTATAATAATCATATATTTATGATAGTTTTGACAACAGTATATGTCAAATGATACGATATGATTTTTTCATCTTTTAAGAAAAACTAATGATCAAAATATTCTATCAAGATGTTTTTGTGATCAAGATCACCGTCAAGGGTTATCCATCCGAGGACTCTTCATTTATTTGTAATAAATTTAACTTATTTTTTATATATATATATATATATATATATATATATATATATATATATATATATATATATATATATATATATATATATATATATATATATATATATATATATATATATATATTTATTGTGTGTTTTTTTGTCTCTCTTTCTGTTAGAAAATTCGAAACTAGAGAAAAAAGACGAGATGCATGAATATGTTTTCGATACAAACTTAATAGACTTATGCGATTCTGATACACCTTAAGCATATTCCGAGTCTATTGTGTATCCAATACGAACTTAACACATTTATGCGATTTTGATACGGTTTAAGCGTATTCTAAGCCTATTGTGTATCAGATATAGAATTAACACATTTTTATGATTCCAATATGACCTAAAGCACAATCTACGCCCATTTGTGTATCCCATACAAACTTAACGTATTTCTGCGATTTCTGATATGACATAAACACATCATGTGCCCTATCGCATATAAGACACAAACTTAAAGCACTTTTGTGGTTCTTATATGGCTGAAACGCACACCTTGCATCTGGGGATTATTAAATGCACTTTTGCATAGCTGACATACCCCCTTTATATCTAGCTAGTCTCAGGGTGTAGGTGGTGGGGTCTGGAAGCGTCCACCTCGATCCGAGTCAAGCCTCGGGAGGCATGGATGAGGATCCTACACTTAGTTAGGAAATGATTCTCTATGACATGGAGCCTAGTACAAAATACAACTACTTGACATTGACTTCATCAATCCAAGGCCTTGACCCAGGAAACACACGCAATTCACTTAGTGTGATCTATAAATCAATATTCTACCACAACAATGCCAAATACAAAAAGCAAGTTTAGCAACCAAAATTGGTAGATAACGTCATTCAATGCACAAAGTTGAAAAAGGCAAGAAAATTTGAGGGCCATATATGTCACTTCATTACAATCAAATGTGATGTTTCTTCCATGAAGCAAACAATAGAGTCTCTCACGCCCAAGACAGATATCCTGCCATAGCAAATGATAACCAGCGATCCAACCTAAACTCTAAAGCGAATAAAAACTTCATTGAGCAAAAGTGCAAGCTCAAAGCTATGACAATTCGTGAACAACAATAGTGTTAAAACAAAGGTCGGCACAAGGCTCTATAATTAACAACACTTGAAACATCACTGTAAAATATTTTATTAAATATCAAAAAATTATTACACCAAGGGCACTGAGAAACATTGCAGGAAATAAATAATACATACAAAGAAAAATCTGTTGAGGTATTTAAAGTTGAGGCATCTGGACCACTTCTTTGAGTCACCCCGAGAACAAACTTAAAAGGACCTGGTGGAAGTAGCAGTCCTCTGAAAAATGTATGAAGGAAAATCTATCTTTTCGCCTTTTTCCGCATTTTGCTCATTTTGATTCCTCTTTTGTCCAAAATACTTACTTAAGCCTAATAACATCAAAAACACACTACCAAGAATACAACATTATAAAAGAAAGTAAAAATAGAACAAAAATGGAAAAATAGCTAAGTAAAACAACTAAAAAAAGCGATACAAAAATCACTTATCAAACTCTCCCAAACTTAGACTGTTGTTTGTCCTCAAGCAACAAAGCTTGCTTATGCAAATTTTATGGTCAAGCAGTTTTAATAATGAAAAATCTTATGAAAATGAAACTACCAGTACTCATACGTGAGTTTTCGCTCAATTGGCTAATATTCAGTTCTCTCGGTACTCATTTGACACCAAAGGTATTTACAAGGACACTAACCATAGTGAGACTATGTATCCAAGTATCCCTTTCAGATACCGCTCCAACTATGTGTAGCAATGCGAAAAATACATGAGCATATCACACGCTCGAAAATACAACAAAGTGTCCACTGAATTTTATTTATTCTAAGAGAAAGGGAAAATATCAATAAAACTCTTAGGGAAGAGAAACGAGTAAGGAGGTCGGTTATGCAAGGGAAATGTATTAGCATCCCTCACATACGTTGTAATCAAAGGTAACCGTTTTGATTGTTCCTTGCGCTGATGGGCGTAATTATCTAAAGGTTACTTACTATTAGTTTTAATTAAGGGAAAAAATAAGTTTTTAATTAATGTGTTCGCCAAGGATTCAAACCCTCGTGCCTACGTATTCTCATAGTGCAATGAGAAAATCAGAGCTCTATAGAAAATAAGTGTTTGTTGGTTGATTTTAGGAAACAATTATAATCGTATCCTAGAAGTGTTTCGACGGTAGCTGATTTGGTCCTAGTTCGGATGCTCTAAACTTTTAGTCTGACTGCTAAGGAATATATTATAACAGTTCTTTTTATGAAAAGAAATAAATTTGTTTGAAAAGGTTCATGATTGACTTGAAAAAGATTTGTGAATGAATTGGAAAAAATTTGTGAAGTGGTGAAGTTGTTGTTTGGATTAAGATTGTATTGTTTGAATCTATAAAGTAATGTCTGAATCAGAGACGTGACATTTAATCAATAAATAGTGATTAACCAATACAAAATTATAGGACTTTGTTTAGATCCGAAAATTAAGACCTACAAAAAAGGAGTGTTTGCCTAAACACTAGAACTCATAAGACAAATATGCATGAAAAGGAATTTGCCTAAACACTGATACTCACAAAAAAAAAAAAAAAAAGCATAAGTCGAAATGTAACTAAAACTCTATTCTAAACTATATGCTATAATATTCTAACTATAATATTTTCTAACTAAAACTATAATATCTTTTTTCTAACCGAAAGTAATGTATATTTTTTCTAACTGAAATTAATGTATCTTTCTATCTAAATAAACTAATGGTTAAATTTTCTAAACTAAGTAAACTAATGGATTAAAAAGGAAAGCTAATGTACTGCACTAGGAAAATTAAAAACGTGAAGCTACAGTATGTGGTATGCTGGTATTTCTTTAACACAAGCTTGGCAGTGGACCGAAAATTATCATGGCAAGGTGCTCTAAATTTTGTGAGTCTGGAGTAAAGTTTCACCCATGCAACTTAATCAATATATACCACACTCCATATCCAATACCAAGGATGGCGGGTTGAAACAATATAACTTTGGTCAACTTGCTCCTATGTAGTGCTTCCGAAATCAGTAACCCTTTATAGCACTAGACTTGGGGACTTCGACATAGTCCGGTGAAATGAGGAGTATGTTTTCAGGCTTTAGATCAACAATGAATCATGCGCAGGTCTTACATGATGCAATACATTCCAATAGCAGTCCAATCTTTCTCTTTCTCTGGCAAGTTGTTGTTGTTGAAAAAAAAATGCAAAATTTTCAGCTTGCTTGCAAAGTGTTCGAGGAAATTCCTCAACTAAGAGTATGGCTTCTTGCTTTGACTTACTTCGGTTATGTTACGAATTTTTTCACTTCTATTTTTCCTTGATCGCTTTGTTTGTTGTGTTAACTGTTGTTTTGAAAATTCGAGGGAGTTTTTTTTGTTCTATGTCAAAGTTGAATTTTTGACTTACATAAGTGATTATTCTTAAAAAGCTATTTCATGCGCTATGTCTAAATTATATGCTAATATAATGCCTAATTCAATGTTATGCTAAATTATGTTAGAAATTATGTTATATTAATTTTTGCAATTTTCTAATTACTTGAAATTGGATTTTTTGATTTAAGGAAAAAAG